TCATTCTAAGTCACTGGTCATTAAAAAGCATCTACATGCGTACATGTATATATGCACATATTCATTCATTCATTCATTCATTCATTCATTCATTTATTCATTCATTCATATCAGGACAGGCCTTTAGAGCTGAGGCCTCACATCTATGTTCCATCTCTGTAATAGATAAAAGCTGGAGCTGCTCTGATTAAAGACAGAAAGCTGCAGAAATTTCTACCCTCTGCCTCCCCTACCCCCGCAGAGTCCTCAAACCTTTTGGAAACCAGTTTAAACTGAAGCTCTGGACAATCATTGCTACAACTCCTTCTTTTGGCCTGATTCTAATGCAAACACACATTTTGCAGGACCTTGTGCACTGTGTACTGAAAACCCTTCTGCCCAGCTGGGCCTTGAGAATTAGTTGAGCAAAATGAACATCAGATGCAGAAGAAAATGGGTCCTGGCCAGTTGGGGCATAAGAAACAGCAGAGGGAGCCAAATGCAGCCCGTTCCCATGCAGGTGGTCAGACTCGGTCCCAGGCTCCAGGCCCCTGTGCTTCCCTCACAGCAGGAGAGACAGAACGGGCTGATGCACACTGATATGCTCACACAGGCGGGGCCAGGAGCCGTGGGAGGAAAGCAAGCCCCAGGAGTGGTTTGGGTGTGGTCAAATGGTGGGGGGAAGGTTTGAACACAGGACTCTCTGAATCCAAGGCCCAGCCACCACCCTCTTCTCTGTAGAAACAGTCCTAGAGTCTACCCCTTGCCACTTTGCAGAGTTGGGCCTCAGCTCCTTCTTTCAAGCCAGGCAGGGCAGCANATGAAGCAGCCTGAGGTGCTCCCTGTCCTAGCCTGACCCTGGAGAGGGTGGGGGTCTGGGGGTACCGGGGAATGACTCCTTACAGGAGTCAGCGTTGACTCAGAAGGAAGGAAAACTAGGGCTCTTTCCAACTACAACAACGTTTCTTTGTCTAACCCAAGGCCTTCCTGGGTCCACCTCTCCTAGAGCAAGGCTGAGGAGGGAATTTGAGCGCAGGGAGAGGTAGAAGGCAGCCCCTCTCCCAGGGCCCATGGAGGGAACTCCTGCGCCCTAACTGCTGCCAGATGCTGTGACTAACCTGCCTTTTCGGCACCCACGCCAGCCTCTGCTCTGTGTGTGTGTGTGTGTGTGTGTGTGTGTGTGTGTATGTGTGTGTGGTTTCCTTCGTTGCTTTGCCTACAATCACATGAGGACATTAAGCTGAGGTCCAGCCCACCTCCAGTGTACTGAATCAAATCATGCAGAGTCCCTGGGCCTCAGTTTCCTCATCTGTGTTTCAAACAGTTTGGAGCCCATGATTGCTGAGTCCCCTTCCAGGTGAGAGTGTAGAATCTTAAGGCTCCGTGATTCCAAAGCGGGGGGTGGATGGTGATGGGAAGGTCCCAAATCCCTTGGAAAATGCTTCCTCTAGTCAGCAGCGGAAATAAAGTCGACCTTATATTTCTTGCCCCTCTCAGCCACAAGGCCATGACAGAGCAGATACCATGTAAGGAATGAAAACAGCTGCCCCTGAGAACTAACCAGAGAACTCCTGCCCTCCCCCAGCCCCAGAGAGCTCGTGACTCACTCCACTGGAATTTTCTTCTCCAGTTCTGGTATTTGCTTGGAGTTGGAGACTGGAAGCTATCAGCCCATTGCAGAGCTGTGGTGGAAAAAAGAAAAGGGCAGGGAAGAAGAGGAGGAGGAAGAGTCTGTTAAATGTGTAGAACACATAGGGACCTATCTCGTACGGCCCATTCACCAAAAGTTAATAGACTCATGATTAAAACTGACCGAATGCTTTCCTTCCCTCAGACTGCATTTCCCTGTCCCCACAACACACACCTCCAAGTCTTTCATTCATTCATTCATCAAATATTTACCAAGAACCTGCCATGGGACTGGTACCGCCCTCTGTCAGAAAATGCCTCAAATTGTGAGCCATCATTCTAAGTCACTGGTCATTAAAAAGCATCTACATGCGTACATGTATATATGCACATATTTATTCATTCATTCATTCATTCATTCATTCATTCATTCAT